AAGCCATGTTTAACTGGCTTAAGATTCTTCACAAGCAAGAATTGTTAGCAAATCACTTTCACTGAAAGAGAGGAAACCCACACCAGCAGGACCTCATCAATGCACCTATGTTGGCATTTACAAATTGCATGTAAATTAAGTAAACAATTTTGGCTGTTACAAATTGCATTAATAAAATGTTACAGTGTATATAAAATAAGGTTCTGTAGTATTATATCTTGTGTGAGAAGCGAGAGTACACTTCCGTTACTTTGCGCTAACATAACATTGCAAAACCTACAGAGACGAAATTAGCATTGTTGTAGCATTAATTAATAAAAATTTCTACTTATAAAATGAGAATGACTATATAAAGTGAGTTATGTGTGGTTGTTCATGATAATATGACAAAATTTCTAAAAAAAATAAAATAAAATAAAAATAAAATATCACTGAGTGATTGGTTCACAGTGCCATTAAAAATTCTCAAAAGAGAAAAACATATAATTGTGTCTATTTATCAGCAATGCTTGATGGGAACCAGCCAAGATCACAATCGGAAGATTTTTGCTCCAACATCATCAGCATTATCCTTTTTTGGCTGATCTGTGCTGCAATTTTAAATAAAGTAAATACGGTTCACAATGCCATTAAAAATTCTCAAACGTAGCTTTAAAAACATCTTAAAAAGCATTTAATTGAATTTGCTTGACATACAAACCTGCAAATACTCTGATGATGGTTATTTTAAACTCAGCTAGACACACAGTTTGCAAAGCTTTCCCAGTTCATGGTTTCCCCAATAAAGGCCATGAGAAATAAATAAATAAAAGAAAGCCAAAAAAAAAAAATGCAATCCAGTCACTACACCCAGCTTAGGACAGTTTGTTGCTGCCGTCGATTAAAACTCAAGACCATGTCACCTTAAATGGGACACAGAGCATTTCAAACTGAGCTTTCATTCACTGACTGGCCACAGATTATATTAACATGCTGAAATTTAAGGCCTAAAAATAAAAAGGTCAGATAGAATTGGCTAAATTTCTTAACTTAGGCCAAAACGCTGCATGCAAAGATTCACTGAATGTGAATGTTTCAGTTGATGTCTTCTTCACTTAGTCATAAGTTGAAAGGTCTGCCATGTAATTGTGTCTATTTATCAGCAATGCTTGATGGGAACCAGCCAAGATCACAATCGGAAGATTTTTGCTCCAACATCATCAGCATTATCCTTTTTTTGGCTGATCTGTGCTGCAATTTTAAATAAAGTAAATACGGTTCACGGTGCCATTAAAAATTCTCAAACGTAGCTTTAAAAACATCTTAAAAAGCATTAAATTGAATTTGCTGGACATACAAACTTTGAAAGGCTCTGCATAGTTTGTTGTTGTTCAACTGAAACGAACATTGCAGCGGCAACACATTCAGGACACGTTCTGTTAAAACTTAAATAACTTCACAACAACAAATTTCACCTTAAACTAGACAAGTGGAGTTTGAGATCATATGACATATTTCCATGACAAATCCCACAACAGATCTATACAACATCTGCAGAGTCCTCTGTACTGCCTGTCCAACAGATTAGCGTATACAGATCGAAGTTCATCTGACATTTTTTCCTATTGAATTTTTTGCGCTTTTGTTGGCAGCCAATCAGAGGGTAAAATACACAGTCCAGCAGATCTAATCAAAGCAGGAATTTAGCTTTAAAGATCCTCCCACACCAAAATGTGACTGTCGACATAGAGTTAGCACATGTTAGAGGGTCCAGTGCAACTTTTGATAGACTTCAAAACATTTTCCACCAGACTACCAAAAAACAAGATTAACTACAATGATTTTCAAAAGGAATGATGAGGAGTTTGAAGACATTAATAAATGTCACTTAAAGAGCACATAGAAGAGCAGAATGTTAACACAATGCTGGGTTACTGCACTAAAATATCAGCATTTTATTCATTTTACTGCATTTTACCCTGAGAAAATAAATGCCATATTTCTCTGTAATGCTAATGCAGGTGGTTCCGGGTTCGAGTGTCTGTTTGTTTCTTTACGTATCGGCATCGGCCCAGAATTCCCATATCAGTGCTCCCCTATTTGATACACAGGGTCATCGCTTGACACAGACGTCTGTGCAGAAAAGCCTCAGGGACATATATATGAGAAACCACACACTGCAGTTTAATTTTGTTGACAGGCCATGAGAAATAAATAAATAAATAAAAGAAAGCAAAATGCAATCCAGTCACTACACCCAGCTTAGGACAGTTTGTTGCTGCCGTCGATTAAAACCCAAGACCATGTCACCTTAAATGGGACACAGAGCATTTCAAACTGAGCTTTCATTCACTGACTGGCCACAGATTATTTTAACATGCTGAAATTTAAGGCCTAAAAATAAAAAGGTCAGATAGAATTGGCTAAATTTCTTAACTTAGGCCAAAACGCTGCATGCAAAGAATGACTTATATTACCATGTGCCACTGAATGTGAATGTTTCAGTTGATGCCTTCTTCACTTAGTCATAAGTTGAAAGGTCTGCCATGTAATTGTGTCTATTTATCAGCAATGCTTGATGGGAACCAGCCAAGATCACAATCGGAAGATTTTTGCTCCAACATCATCAGCATTATCCTTTTTTTGGCTGATCTGTGTTGCAATTTTAAATAAAGTAATTAAAATGCACTGTAGATCTTGTGTGTGCTGTATATGACAGCTGCTGCTACACCTGTACCAAAACATCATCATATTACATATTACATCACATAATTACACTCATTTTGCTAAACAGCCAGCTGCCTCTTACTTTCAATGCAGCATTTAATTTCAAGCACGACACTGCCTTGTTAAAAAATCAGTTATGACTGAAAATGTGCATTCAAGCTGCTTCTTTTCTTTATATGATGTATACTAAAGAGGCTTGCATGCTCCCCCTGCTGGAGTAAATTCAGACTGCTACATGCGTGCTGTAAATGAGGTCCAAAGCCATGTCCAAAGCTTTGCACGTTAAAAAAAACAGGTGCTGGCAGAGTCTGGAATTCAGCTAAAGATCCCAAATATGTATTTTCATGACTTCACAACTTATCTGAACATGAATTACGCTTAAGCTGAAAATCACAGCCCAGACGGCACATCACACTTTGGGAAACCACGCAACAGACAGTTAATCTACCATCGTCTTATTGTTTATTAATGCAATATCCACTGGTTTAATGGCAAAAGTGAATAAAACATTGCATTTATGTATTATTTAATATTATTTAAAAAGCTGTTTAATATGAAATTAGTCCTGTCTAGTTCTTAGTCCTCTTTCCCAACACTGCACATATCGCCTTTAAAGCATCGTTACCTGCATACCTGTCGGTTATTGCTGCTATCCAGTCACACTACCCTCCCACCCTTATATGCAGTTGATTTTTTTTATTCTTATAATTCAGAATTTGCGTGGTTCATTAATGAGCAAATAATGTTATTCGAAAAGATGTGGCTAAAAGAAAGTACTGAAAATGTGCTTGTGTGTTTCAAGTGTTCAAAAAGCTAATAAAAAAAAAAAATCAGCCAAAAACATTATTTGTGCTGAAAAGGAATCAGAATCTGCCATAAAAGTTCCTCAAGTCTTCTATTTATTATATGCAAATTAATGTCATGTTTTGCTGTTGTAGCATTCAAGCATGGTCCTCTTAGAGATCAATAAAATACATCTATTCATGTCTGTCCATCCATCCATCTATCTAACAATCTCCAATGTTTTTCAAATACATATCTGCACATGCACAAACATTTATGAAATATAGAAATTCAGGCAGCTCAAACTAGATTTGCATGAAAGAGAAATATAGCATGTGCTTGAAAAGGGTTATAAATGCAGTAAAATGAATAAAAAATGCAATAAAGTCAAGTACGAAGTACTGGTTTGAAATATCAGTCAAGTCTAAACATCTATCTGATCCCTGCTGGACAAAAGATCATTAGAAACAATTGGGGTTAAAACCGTATTGTTTTGCTTTCTACCAGGGATTGATTTAATGGTTTCCAATGGATAACACTTGTTTCCAGTAGAACACCCTTAGATGTTTAGATCCCACTGGGAAACCATCAAATGCATTACGAATCAGCCACTGGTCACCTGTTAAACCATTAGGATCCTTTATAGTGTGAAATCAATTGATTAAAAAAGCCAAAACATGTTAGAAAACCTTTAGGAAGCGACAGAAACACTTGGTTTCTAGGGTTTTTTTCAGCAGGGATGGGGATTTTTTTAATGAAACATCCTGACAGCAATATGATTTCAATATCATTGTGCATCGCTGCTACCTGCCTATCTATCTCTCTATCCATCCATCCATCTATCTACCACTACTCTCAGACTCTCCACCACAGTTCATGAACTTCCCACCATAAAACAAACTACACTGCTGTTCTCAACAGAAACTGTAAATCTGCAAAAGTGTCCGTCCCAGCTGAAGCATACAGGGCATTCTAATGGAGATTTGAGGCCGGAAGCGGGCTCTGGAGGTGGCCGTGGCTGCAAGGCTCCTCCAGTCCCCCTCTCCAGGCTGTGGGGTGCCCCATGGCTGAAAGGAGGAGGCTCTGGTTTTGGCAAGTCTCCCTGTGACCCGCTCTGCTGAGGGAAAAGCTCAAAGGCTGTGCAAAGCAAGCACTTTTACTGTAGAAGCACATGGGAAAAGCCTTAGGGATAGAGGAGTAAACACAGTCCATGCACTTTCAGCTAACAGCTACAATTATGTGGATTCCATGCAGACAGACAGGTCATTACATCTGCACACTGAGTACCTCTGCATGTGCTGAAGAGCCGGGAAAGTTACAACAACAATCCTTCAGTGCCAGAAAACCCAGAGCTGCAATCAAACTGGACACAGCAAAGCTACTTTAAGCGCATCAGGCGGTTGAGAGCAGCGCGTCAGGCAGCCTGAGCGGTTCACAGAGCGGGTCTATGGGGAAAAGAACCTGCTGTGGCAACTTGGCAACAACTATTCAGCACTTAATCCACAACTCACCCGCGATGCTTTAACATCTAGAGGAGCGGCACAGTGAAGGAGCGCTGAGCTAACCCGGCCAAACTGCAGCAACTTTTCCCACAAAAAAAAGGCAACCTTGACTTTCGACGACTGCGACTTTCTTCCCAAAGTAAACGCACCCAGCGCAGCCAGGCTGCAGTTTAAAGCCTCGTCTCTGTAGCTCCAACGCGCATGTGTCTCTTACCGGAGTGGAGCTCCGAGGCGCTTTCTCCTCCTCACTCAGAGCCAAAGCCTCTCTCTCAGGCACTCTCTCTCTCTCTCTCTCCCTCCCTGTTTCTCCCCCTTTCTCTCTCCTTCTCCCCCCCGTCTCCCTCACCCCTCTCTTTCTCTCGGTCTCTCTCTCTCTCTCACCCCTCTCTTTCTCTCCGTCTCTCTCTCTCTCTCTCTCTCCCTCACTCAGCCCTCTCTCTCTCTCTCTCACTCAGCCCTCTCTCTCTCTCGCTCTCTCTCCCTCACTCAGCCCTCTCTCTCTCTCTCTCTCTCCTCAGTCTGCAAACACGCTCGCTGCGAAACTTGAGTGACGTCAGCCCGCTTCTGTAAAACGCGCCTGAATGATTGTCAGGTGCTCCGCCCTCTGACTCCGCCCCTCGCCCCGCCCCTGGCGCCCAGCTGACCGTTTTAAAGGGCCAGATGGAGGAGATTTATTACAATCAGGACCCTGATTTAGTGTAAACGTACACGTTTCTTTACGTTCATACTCTATCAGAGAGTCTAGTCCTGTATTCTGTCACTGGCTGTGTTTACATGCAAAGATTTTTGCCAATCCGATTGAATAGATTACGATTATAGATTAAGGCCTGATTCACACATACTGTGTCTGCGTGGTGTGAGCGATGGTGATCATGTTAACTGGTCAGTGCTTTCACACAGGTTGTGCAGGTGAAGCAGCAGAGCCTCCCAGACGCTGCACTGAACCGCCACTGTGTTTACAGAATAGACTAGGCGCTGATTTTTTACGTCAATAAAAATTAAACACTTAAAAATGCTATTTTTTATTTAATTTAAGTCACGATGAAATACTAGTTAAACATCCCATGCTACAAACAGATATCCTGGTTGGTCTACCAGGCTCAAAACTTTTGCCTAATCACAAGTCAGAATGCTCTGGAGGATAAACAAGTATACATAAACATATATATATATATATATAAGCAGAGTAACAGAGGTGACTATTTATCTGTCTGGAAACAGGAATGTTGGTATAACTCTCTAATGCATTTGAGCTGTGTGTGCGCTCACAGCACGCAGACGCAGCATGAATCAGGCCTGAGACTGAGGTGTTTATTCTCACTCTATTCAACAATCTGATGAAAAATCTCTTTACATGCTCACTTCAAGTAATCTGATCCAAAATTATGCGCATGCTTAGAGAACCACTTACTGTAGATGTTACCATGACAACGAGCATCACGAGTCCAGTCAGAGTGAAACGAGCAGCAGTGAGCAGCGCTTGTTTTTAATTGCTTTAAAATGATGTCAGACTCAGGAAAACGTCCTTCACATGTCCTTATTAAAGAAGGCCGAGAGGAAGACGTCGTGTTCTGAGACACATAAGCTGGACGTCCGTCCCACCGCCGTCTTTTAAAGATCAGAGCATAAACTTCGTCTCCTCTGCAGACCAGTTTCTGCTCCGCCATGTTGAACGGTATAAACTTTCACTATGACGTGACGCACCTGATCAGAACAGACTTAAACTTTAAGATAGGGAATGTAATCAGATACAGGCGTTTACACGGATATTATTCTAATATTTAACGGATTATTTACAGGATTACCCACCTCGTTCAATCAGATAGAAACTGCATTCTGAATGGACTCAAATGGACTAGTCTATTCCGATTGAGGTGTATACATGGACTGGGAAAAAGCATAAAAATGCCAATATGACACAATTATTGGCACCCTATTGATGAATTCCTTTCAGATTAGACTAGATTAGACTCACCAGTGATACACTGGAAATTAGAATCACCTGTGATAAATGAAGGCTCACATGACTTGACCACTTTCCCTGATTCCTTTACACAATGCTGAAGACAAGAGAGCTGTCTGAGAGCATCAGAAGTGCTATTATCTCCAAACACAAGAATGGTAAAGGGTACAAGGCCGTCTCCAACATCCTTGCCATCCCTGTTTCAGTAGTGTGCAATGTAAGGAAGTTTATTGTTCAAGGAACTATCAAGAACTTACTAGGATGTGGGTCAAAGAGGAAAATCAGTGAGTAACTCTTTGGTGTGAACTGTGGAAAAAACATCCAAAGCGCTAAAGGCAGACCTGGAGCAATCTGGAGTGAACCCATTTCATACACCACACACTGAAACAAGAAGGACTTCATGGGGGAGGCCAAAGAAGACATCGCTTTAAGAAAGATATAAGAAGGCACGACTGATCTTTGCCAAAATGTACCTAAACAAACCACAATCCTTTTGGGTAAATGTGTTGTGGACTGACGAAACAAAATAGGCCTCTTTGGCAATGAAGACCAGCGATTTGTTTACATGAAATGAAATGAAGCTTAAAACCAAAAGGACCCCCTACCTGCAGTCAAACATGGTGGTGGATCTATATTCCTGTGGGGTTGCTTTGCTGCCTCAGGTCCCGGTGGCCTCAACTGAAAGAATAATAAAATCAGAACATTACCAGAGCATCTCAGAGCAAATGGTGCTGCCTAGTGTAAGAAAGCTATGTTTGGGTCAAAGATAATGGGTCCCCCAGCACGATAAAGACCCAAAGCACACATCAAGAGCACAACAGAATGGTTGCAAAAGAAGAAGAAGACTGTTTTTAACTGACCAGCAATGAGTCCAGATGTCAACCTCAGTGAAAGCTGAAATCTGCCACAGGGAAGGGACAAACCTGCAAACATCCAAGAGCTTGAAAAGTTTGCAATGGAAGAGTAGAAAAAAAAACTACCAGCAGATGGTAGAGGTTGTACATGGATACCAAAACGTTTGGAGGCTCATTGCTGCTAAAAGGCCTGCAGCTAAATATTAGGAAAGGGTGCCATTAATACTGTCCATAACATTTTTTGTGTCCTTACTTTAAGATCACTTTGTTGAAAAAAAAAGTTGAAAAGAAATAGGTTTTTTGTTTTTAATAACTCTAGATGCATTAAATAATTTTATTGATAAAAAAGTTGGCATATTTTTTAACTGACACGAAGATTGTGTGCATAAAATGCTGTTATAATGTAAAGCGAGTGAAGAGGGCTCTGTTTTTAGATCCAGGCGCTTCAGGTGCTCTCCACCTGGCAGTGTATGAAAAAGGCCAAAAAATTATTTGTTAAATATATAATTTGTTAAATATTGTATCTATTTGTTATTGATTATATATATATATATATATATATATATATATATACTTTATATATATATATATATATATATATATATATATATATATATATATATATATATATATATTTTACTTAAGGAGTTTTAACAAAGGTTACAGGTATAAGTAAATATACACCGATCAGGCATAACATTATGATCACCTCCTTGTTTCTACACTCATTGTCCATTTTATCAACTCCACTTACTATATAGGTGCACTTTGTAGTTCTACAATTACAGAATGTAGTCCATCTGTTTCTCTGCATACTTTGTTAGCCCCCTTTTACCCTGTTCTTCAGTGGTCAGGACCCCCATGGACCCTCACAGAGCAGGTACTATTTGGGTGGTGGATCATTCTCAGCACTGCAGTAACACTGACGTGGTGGTGGTGTGTTAGTGTGTGTTGAGCTGGTCTGAGTGGATCAGACACAGCATTCCACTCAGTAGGTATTTTCACAGTGTATCAATACCTACAACACTTACTTTTGCCATGTTAAAAGTTAATCTGCTAATACTTAAAATCTGCAAAAAATTAAGATACTGGAATAAAAGGTGTTCCATACAGTAAAGTGCATTAGACAGTATTTTGGCTTTTTTCATACCTTTGCAAATGTATTTGATAAATATATTTACATACATTTATTTTTTGTATGGTACATTTCCATGTGTAATATTTCTCCATACATTTTAATATAAATATATTTAAAAATAAATAGGGCAATTTATTCTGAAATACATTTTAGTATTTGGAATGTGTTGGAATGTGAACTGCAACCGGCTACTCTCGCCAAAAGCCAAGGTGAGGCGCAGATAATCTCAAACAAGCCAAAGTCTCCTGTGCAGGAGGCATATGTATTTCCTCACCTTGGAGGCCTCGTCTCTGTTTGATTCCTCCAAGTGCATTTAAAGAAGCGAAACATTCTTAACGATGCCAGATTTTTTTTAATTTCAGGACCGGAAGGTGGAGAGGAAACGAGTTGAGGAAACATCGATTAGAGTTTTGCAAATCGATTCTTCCTCAGATCTCTTTCCAGCCCTATTCTCTCAGCCTGTCCTCTCTGCCTCCATTTGTGTGTTCATGTGGAGGGCCTGCCATATTGAGGGTGATCCCAAAGTAGCTAGTAGGGAGTAAGAGTACCTTCCGACAGCTAGTGAGCATCAATGTAGACTTATGACAACTCTTTACAGAAGCAACATAGTTTCACCTCACTAGTTAGTCAAATACAACCCCATTTCCAAAAAAGTTGCAACGCTGTGCAAAATGTAAATGAAAACAAAATGCAATGATGTGCAAATCATTTAAATCCTATATTTCATTGGAAATAGTACAAAAAAACGACATCTCAATTGTTGAAACTGAGAAATTGTATTGTTTTTTGTTTCAAAAAAGTTGGGACGAGGCAACAAAAGGCTGGTAAAGTTGTGTAATGATAAAAAAACACCTGTTTGTGATTCAAAAAAATTCATCCAATTTCAAAATGATATATATACACATATTTACATGTGTGTGTGTGTGGTAGAGCACCGCTCTGTGAGTATGTTGATGTGCACATTACCAGCTTTTTTCAGAGGTAATCCCAGCATGCTGCTTATGATGCAGACAGTTGCCTCCTTCTGTTCAGAATCCCCTGAGGAACAGGTCTCACTGCTCCTTTGTCCCCAGAGCAATTCTGCTGTCGGAATAGTCTTATTTTATTTGGGACAAGCTTATTTCTGTAAATATATCAGCTCTCGCTCTGAAACAATGAAACAATAAGGCTACTTTGAAATATACAGACCTGCCTGGCTCCCTGCAGGGTCATGACTGAGTCACCGCATTTACAACACATTGTTTTCCCTCTATACAGAAGCCTGTAGCGCCTATAAAATGTCTCTAATGTATGTGATTGTGTCAAGTTCACTTATTAT